AAGCACGCAAACAAGAAGGGACGCTTGGCGTTGCACCAGAAACTGAGAGCCCAGCGATAACAACAGCCTCCCTCCACCGCTCAACGCTCACCTTGCCCACTTCACCTTGACTGCTGCTAGCCGGCTCTATTTCCTAAAAATAAAGACAAAGAGGAGACCTGTAACACAGTGACCGGTTCCAGTTGCCCTGCAAAGACAAACATTGACTTACCTTCTCGGGGGAACCCCCTTACCCTGGATGGGACTCTCTGCCACTGATTTCATCCATCCGCATCTGAAAGAAAGCTGAGACAAAAGTTAAAGTGCTGCAGGGTAACTTCACAGCTCCAGACATCTTGTGTTGATCTAGGGATATGTTCTAGACCCCAACTATACCCTACATCACAGATTTCAAATTACGGGGGCCTGGGACTTGGCCTTTTACACCTACAGCCAGGCTGGGCAGCAGGGCAGAGCAGCTCCGGGACAACTACACCCAGACACCCGTGACACACCAGACAACAGACGAGGGGACACAATGGGGAGACAAAACTCTGGGCCACAAGAACGACCGCAAGCACTGAGAGAATGCGGAACGAGATGAGCCGGGTGAGAACGAAGGCGAGCTGATGAAGCTCACAGAACCCGGGAGGAAGAAGATGCTGACGGAATGACAAACTCCAGGAACCGCCAGGATGGATGCCCAAGAATCTTACGGCCGCAATCCTCTACCTATCTTTGCGTTTCTTCAAGTCCTAAGCCGCTACAATGGATCCTCGCGGCGCACGGCTGTTGACACAGCTCGGAGCAAGACGTCTAAAAGACATCCGATCGGATGCTTGTCAAAAGAGACGCGATTCCAAGGCCCCTGAGAGCTGCCGAGCCGAGGGGCCCAGAGATTGGAGATGCTATAAGCGACGCTGGGGTTTCTGGTAAGCCCCCAGAAGAGATAGGGCAAGGCACGTACAACACAAGAGGCACAAAAGACACAGAAGGCACGACGGACAAGTGACACGATGCGCCCCGAGGCTGCTCTGTCCTGCACACCTCAGCACTGTGAACAAAAGTGAGGCTCTCCCACCGTGTGGCCTAAGGGGCCACAGCCTGGACCTCCCCATCCCCAAAGCTGACTCAAAAATCCCAGGGCACATGTCCCGGCCCGGCACCCCGCTTTCATCCCCTCTGCGGGTTGTAGCCTTCGACTCAGCTCTCGGATGCCCGCTGAGGAGGATCCACACGAAGCGCCAAGGAAGGCCGCCTGGCTATCCGGGAAGTTCCTGCCATCGCCAGGCTGTCGTCTCTCCGTCAACTGCAAAAAACAAAACAGAAAATCAGCAGCTGATCTTTGCAGGGCATCGGCCAAAACCCGACAATTCCGCTACTCACGGTCTCCTGCGAACGGCCGTGTCCTGAAGGCTGCATGATACCGCCACGCCGAAACCAGACACCGTCGTCGCAGAGGGCGCGCCTGAGTTCAGAGAAGAAAAAGTGATGTGGCATTGCTGAAACGTGAACAGGCCCTCGCTCCTCCTCCCGACATCCCCAACTCACGGGAAG